ATAGTAGTAGTGGTATTCGTAGAAATAGTACCGGTAGTATGACAGAAGTAGTAGCAGTAGTAGTAGCAGTAGTAGTGGGAGTAATGGTAGTAGTAGTCATAGTCGTAGTAGTAGTAGTAGTACTACTACTAGTAGGAGGAGTAGCAGTAGCAGCGGTACCTGTATTCATAATAATCTCACCGGTGATTGTAGTGATAGTGGTAGTGGCACTGGTAAAAGTAATAGTAGTAGTAGTACTTTTACTACTACCACTACTCTACTACTACTACCACTACTACTACTACTACTACTACTACTACTACTACTACTTCTACTACTAGTAGTACTACTACTACTACTACTACTACTACTACTACTACTACTACTACTACTACTACTACTACTACTACTACTACTACTACCAACTACTACTACTACTACTACTACTACTACTACTACTACTACTACTACTACTACTACTACTACTACTACTACTACTACTACTAACTAACTACCACTACTACCACTACTACCACAACAACTACAACTACTGCTGCTACTACTACTACTACTACTACTAACTACGACTTACTACTACTACTACTACTACTACTACTACGACTACTATTCCTAGTACTACTAGTAGTACTAGTAGTAGTAGTAGTAGTAGTAGTAGTAGTAGTAGTAGTAGTGGTAGTAGCACTAGTACTAGTAGCAGTCGCTGTCGTAGTAGTAGCAGTAGTAGTAGCAACAGTGGTGGCAAGAGTAGTAGAAGTAGTAGTAGTAGTAGTAGTAGTACCAAGAGTCGCAATAGTAGTCGCAGTACCAGTAGTAATAGTAGGGGTGATGGTAGTTGTCGTAGCCGTAGTCGTAGTAGCAGTTGTAAAAGTAATGATCGTCGCCGCCGTTGTACCAAAAGTTGTTGTGGTGGCAGTAGTAGTAGCCATAGTGGAAGCCGCGGTACAAGTAGTAGTAGTAGTAGTAGTAGTAGTAGTAGAAGTAGTAGTAGTAGTAGTAGGAGGAGGAGGAGTAATTGTAGTAGTAAAAGTAGCGGTAACGGTAGTAGTAGTAGTAGTAGTAGTAGTAGTAGCAGTAGTAGTCGGGAGCGCAGTAGTAGTAGTAGTAGTAGCAGTAGTAGTAGTAGTAGTAGTAGTAGTAGTAGTCGTAGTAGTCGTAGTAGTAGTAGTCGTAGTAGTAGTAGTAGTAGTAGTAGTAGTAGTAGTAGTAGTAGTAGTAGTAGTAGTAGTAGTAGTAGTAGTAGTAGTAGTAGTAGTAGTAGTAGTAGTAGTAGTAGTAGTAGTAGTAGTAGTAGTAGTAGTAGTCGTCGCCGTCGTGGTAATAGTAGTAGGTAGTCGTATTAGTAATAGTTCTAGTGGTATCGGTAGTTGTAGCAGTGGAAGACGTCATCCTTGTCGCATTCGCAACAGAGGCCACGCACGTAGCAAAGATGTTTGTCGTCGTAACAGGCCGGGGGGAAAGAGGATCAAGAACAACATCAACAGTACTACGATGGGTGTCCCCTATCTAGAAATACGTGTTGGCGTTTGTTCTGTATTCGCGTTGCCCCAGGAACTTGCGCTGAGAGTTATATGCCGTAGTAGTTTTAGTGATCGTAGTGGTAGTGGTAGTAGTAGTAGTAGTAGCAGTAGTAGTAGTAGTAGTAGGAAGTAGTAGTAGTAGTAGTAGTAGTAGTAGTAGTAGTAGTAGTAGTATGTAGTAGTAGTAGCAATCGTGAAAAAAGTAAGAAGATAGTGAAAGCAATGAGAGTAGTGAAGTAGTCGCAGTGGTGGACGTCGCCCCACTCGCACTGGTAAAAACAGGCAGAAAAATCGAAGAAGAGGCCGCGCTGAAAATAGTCGAAGTAGAATTCGAAACGCCCCCATGGCGGCCCGACAGGGTTCGCGAGCGCACCAAAATGCACAAACAAACGGCCGAAAAAAATTGCCCAATAACCCCACCGCGCAGCCAAAGATGGAAACGAAACAGCCTCAACCAGCCCAACATGGCACCCGAAGTAATCAGGACGGCGCGAAATGCTCCCTGACCGGCGCAGGAGGGCTCCACGATGGCTCCAAGAGGCCCCACGGCAACCAGGCTACAACATATCCCCAAGGGAACTCAAAGACGACCCGCGAAGTAGAGCAACACGTCGGGCCAGGAATGCCCTAAAGATCCCCCGAGACTGCCCCGCCGGAGCGCACGACAGCCCCAAAACAACGAAAAAAAACTAACTGGAAGGCTGCCTCTTCCTCCTCCATCTCATCCCCCCCCATGTGAACACCATCACCATCAACACAGTCACTGATGCCACCCGCATCATCACCGCAATCCGAACCGATGCCGTCGTCGGAAACATGTATTGCTGTTGCATCAAATGCGGAAAAAAAGGGCCTACTTGCATCTTCGGGCAGCTGGCGAAACAGAGGTGTTTGATGTCCTCACCGATCTGGAATCACCACAACGTCGTAACGAAAGAACGCCAACATCACTGACGACGCAATGCGAATCTACAGAATCAACGATTATGTTTCCTTGAACTGCGGGAAAGGGCGCCCTGACGCCCCTCCTCTCGAGGAGAGCCGATTGTGCCCCCGCGGCGATTCCAGGTTTGGGGATATGTGTTCGGGGGGCGTTGTTCGGAGCCCCCGTAATTTCACAAAAATTCTGCCGTAGACCCGAGGCCACGAATCCGAAAAAACAGTAATGGACGCGCGCTCCCGAAGCAGCGAACCCTCATAAGTTGAGATGGAAGCGCGCCCCGGGCAACCATCTCCTTTGAGTTACCACAGATGCACGCAACCAGCCAGCCAGCAACCAGCGAAAAAACAAGTGCCAACCATCTTTTTGGACAACCGGCCACTTGGCCGAGTTGCCAGCCATCCAACCAGCAAGCCAACAGATCAACCAACCGAACAAGCCTAGCCATGCAAGCGGTCAGAGGGGGGGAGGGCTGGCGGCTGAGGGAGAAGCACTTCCAACACGGAAGAGAAGAGGAGGAGAACGCCTACGAGGAATGAAGAAGAGAGGGAAATAGGAGGAGGGGGCGCCTCCTGCTTGGCGGGGCCCTCTCTGGCAAGCCTCTTGGCAGTGGCGGCCTCCGTCTGGCGTCGGTACATCATCTTGTCCATCTCCTCCGCAGGGCGGCGGGGAGATCACCTCTCCTGTCTGTCCTGCTCGTCTGTCTCTTCCCATTCCTCCGCCACTTCCACCCGCCCACCCACCCACCGCGGCCACCATCTCGCCATCCTGCTCACAAAATCCTCCTCCTCCTCCTCCTTCTCCTCCTCCTCCTCCTCCTCCTCCTCCTCCTCCTCCTCCTCCCCTTGCTACTCCTTTTGACGATGCCCCGACGTGAAGCGCAAGCTTGTCGCGTCCTCCTCCTCCTCCTCCTCCTCCTCCTCCTCCTCGTGCTCCTCCTCCTCCTCCTCCTCCTCCTCCTCCTCGTCCGCATCACCATCCGCGTCATCATCAACAACAGCATCGTCAACTCATCGTCCTTCTCATCAACTTCACCATCGCCACACCAACATCATCGTCGCCATCTTCACATCCACCACCACCACAACCATCATCATCATCATCATCATCATCATCATCATCATCATCATCATCATCATCATCATCATCATCATCATCAGCATAACTCATCATCATCATCATCATCATCATCATCGTCATCAGCAGCATCATCATCACCATAATCATCATCAGCATCAGCATCATCATCATCATCATCATCATCATCATCATAATCATCATCATCATCATCATCATCATCATCATCATCATCATCATCATCATCATCATCATCATCATCATCATCATCATCATCATCATCATCATCATCATCATCATCATCATCATCATCAGCAGCAGCATCATCATCATCGTCATCAACATCAGCATCAGCATCAGCATCAGCATAATCATCATCCCATCATCATCAGCAGCAGCATCATCAGCATCAGCATCAGCATGATCATCATCATAACCATCATCATCAGCATCATCATCAATACCACCACCACAATCAGAATCCCCATCATCAGCATCATCAGCACCAGCAGCATCATCAACACAATCATCATGAAAATCAGCATCAGCGTCATCAGAATCGTCATCAGCAGCCTCAGCAGAATCGTCATCACCGGCATCATCATACACATCATCAGCATCATCATCACCATCAGCGCCAGAATCAGCATTATCAGCATCATCGTCATCGTCATCATCGTCATCATCAACATCATCATCATCATCGAGAGCAGCAGCGTCATCATCAGCATCAGCATCATCATCGGCATCATCATCAGCAGCATCATCATCAGTATCGTCATTTTGAAATTCACCACCACCATCATCATCATCAGCATCAGCATCATCGTCATCATCATCCGTATCGTCAGCACCATCATCGATATCCTTATCATCATCAGCATCATCATCATCAGCAGCATCACGGTCAGCATCATCATCAGCATCAACATCATCAGCATCATCAGCATCATCATCAGCATCGTCGTCGCCGCCATACGAAGAATCATCATCATCAGCATCAACATCAACCTCATCAGCATCATCAGTATCATCGGAATCATCAAAACCATCATCAGCAGCATCGTCGCCATCATCATCATCATCATCCTCATCATCAGCAGCAGCATCACCATCATCATCATCATCAGCAGCAGCAGCAGCGTCATCCTCATCATCACCAGCATGATCGTCCGCAATACAACCATCATCAGCATCATCAGCATCAGCAGCAACATCATCATCATCATCATCATCATCATCAGCATCACCAGCATCAGCATAGTCATCATCATATGCATCATCATCAGCAGCATCATCATCAGCACCCCCACCGCCACAACAACCACCACCATTATCATTACCAGCAGCACCAGCAGCAGCATCATCAGCATCATCATCACCAGCAGAAGCAGTATCATTATCAGCAGCAGCAGCATCATCATCATCGTCATCATCATTGTCAACATCAGCACCGTCGTCGTCGCAGTCGTCGTCGTCGTCGACATCAGCAGCGGCAGTATCGTAATCGTCGTTATGATTATCTATTCAGCATATCACCACAGCGGTCGTCATCATCATCAGCATCAGCACATCATCATCCTCCTCTTGCTCCTCCTCCTCATCATCATTATCATCATCAGCAGCATCATCAGTATCATCAGTATCATCAGTTTCACCGTCATCATCATCATCATCATCAGCCTCATCATCATCATCATCATCATCATCATCATCATCATCATCAGTATCGTCATGGCCATCGTCATCGTCATTGTCATCGTCATCATCATCGTCGTCGTCGTCCACCTCTCTCGCTAGCCTCCCCATACAAACGCCTTCCTCACCTCATCCCGTCCCTTCCTCCTCCATTCCTCCCTCCCCATCCTGTAGCCTCCCTCCTCCACGCTCGCCAACCCCTCCTCCCTCCACCCCGTCCTCCTCGTGTTCCACGTCTTTCGCTCCTCCCTCCCTGCCACATGCTCCGCCTCAAGCCGCTTTGGCCCAAGAATTCTGCCTAGGCAAGAGTGCCCACCTCCTACGTGGTGCTTGAGGGGCACCAGCTGTTGTCCGCTCGCTGTGCACTCTGTCTGTACATCTTCCTTTCTTCGATTCACAGTGGTGCACTGCTTAAGCTTGTTGACTAATGGGACGCCGTGAGAGAATAGTAACAGCATGGGTGGTAAGAAGGCCGCACAGAAGCAGAACTGTAAGTCTCGGAGTTCGCAGAGTAATCCCTGGACCAACTGCGGGAAAAATGGCAAATGCGGGTGGAATCGTATCCTGGGAAGCAAGAAGTGCATGTGTCAGTCTTGTCAGGCTATGCAGTCCGCGGGCTGGAGTGCAGACGAGGCCCTGAGGAAAGGCGCAAGAACATAGCGAAACGCGAGAACCAAACACGACCAAGCCGTGGCACAGGTCTGAGGTTCCGCGACAACCTCGCCAAAGCAGAAACACGCGAACAACAGACTGCGAGGGCTTTGGCAGAAACCGAGATCTCCCGTCGTCCAGCGTTGGCAACGCCGGCGCAGCAGGTTGAAACTCAGGTGCGGCCGCAGGTAAGTCGGTCGGTGAGGACGATCTCATCGAGCTGCCCTAGGACGAGTCATTCTTCGAGGAAATAGTACAACTGATGGAATGTCAGAAAAGCGAGTTGGTTGAGTTGGTATCTTTCGAGAACAGGCTGAAGGCCGCCAAAGCTACATTGGCGGCTCGTTCCTCAGAGATGGCAAGGTGGAAGGCCATATCAGCTGTGCCTTCGGAGATGGCGGAGCTGAGCCTTCGGAGAAGACCATCGCAGCGGAGGCGGACCGCATCTCGGCGGCCTAGATGGAGGCGGCGACGGCAGCAGTGCAGGGCCACCCCGTTGGGGGAGCAGCCAGCGATGCCCCAGCGGCCGGCGCTGCTGGAGGCAAGAAGTGAGAGCTCCAGGCTGGCCGCGCGGCTGCTAGTGGTCGGGAGCATCATGCAGCGGCGCCGCCAGCCACTTCTGCTTCAGACGGATCGGATGGTGATGTGATACATCGATGATTCTTCGAGACTGTCACAACCTTTGGCACAAAGCTTGGGATGATCTTACGCGCAAGAATCGCCATGAGCAACTTTAATACGTCGGGATCGTGGAAAGACATGTGGGAACGGTCACTCGAGACGAGTGGGCGTGAAAAGCTCGTAACACGAGGTTCATGTTCCTGGACAATTGCGTCCAGCATAGAAGCAACAAGAAATGAGAAGCTCGTCATGAGGCTCGTGCGAATGAAATAAGAAAATTGACTCTGGCTCACAGGCATCGGCACACTCATAGAGCACAACGTGTCTACCACACATTCGGGAGGTGAAGGCGGTGCAGGACGTGCAATGGGCTCCGCATTGCCGGCTGGCTGTCACGCTGTGAAGTTATGATCAGCAACGCATTGCGCGCACGATGCCAACAGCCCCTCATTTTGCCGCAGCTTGCTCGCCCGTCGCAGCGAGCCGTTCCAAGTCGAGTGCAACCAAAAATAATCGAGCTATGCAAGTATATAGCAGGTCGTGACAAGCATATAAGCGACACGCAGTCAGTCGTACTCCGACCTTCTCCAGACCCGCAAAGATGTTAGGGAGGAAGCAGTTGAGGAGCCCGAGGGCGCATAAGCCCCTGCAAAGGATCCTGACTCTTCCACGCCTGGCGGGGTCGTGGGGGAAGGGGAATACGAATTAAAGTTGAATGCTGATTTAAGTGGCTTCGAGGACGAGGGGGATCCTTGGTCCGATGAAAACTATATTTATCCTGTGGTGTCCAGGGGGAGTGCGTCGTTTGGAAAAAGCAGGGACCCCAATTAATGCAAGTACCGTTGGAGACAAAGTGGGCGAGTTGAGCACCGGGTCGAGGAACAGTCGGGCCGACCCCGGTGATCATACCACCATGAACCCCAGTCAAATCTCGTCGGAGGCAGACTTTCCGACTCGAATGCTGGTGCTGGTGCGGCTCGTCTCTCTCCCACTGTTGCTGTTCCGTCTTCGCACTCTGTTGATGACGTCAGGCCTGCAAATCGCGAGTCTTTGGCTTTCGCAGCGGCAGGGTCACACGTGATACATACGTACGCAGGACGAAAAAGTTCCTCTTGAAGTGAAAACGGTGATGATGAGTTCCACAGATAACATCGGCGCCGCCGAACGGACGGCGCCTGGGCGAACTGCGTGCAGATCGTCCAGAAGGAAAGTGGGGCACCCGCGCGCGGAAAGTTGATGGGAGCGCACGAGACAGTAGAGGACCCATCCTGGGAAGTTGATGATCGAACCCCCTCCCCCCGTAGAGTCTTAACACGGGGTCCGACGGCGGTTATCTCACACGCATCTGCTCAAGATTTCGCATCGTCGTTCCGAGCCCAAGAAAAACTTCCGTCCTGGGGATACATCAGTTCTCGGTTCGCGTCCTGGGTGGCCATTGTCGAAGGCTACATCCATGAGAGCCATGGTCAGAGAATCCCGAGACGTTCGCGAGGACAAGGACCCCTTTTTCAGGAAGCAGGGGTTACACATCAAGCACAACAGGTGCGTGACCAGCCACTTCGAAGTCATTCGTCCTTGTGGTCGAGGTCGCGCACCATAGCCACTC